AAGAGTAGGGAATGGGTGGGGGAAGCAGGGGCCGGTGCTGGGGGGATCCCAGCTTAAAAGCCGGTTCCCCCCAGCACTGTTTCCACTGTCTCTATCAGAGGCAGCAGCGTGGGGTGGGGCACATGGGAGGCTGCTCTGGCAGCAGCCCTATCTACGGGGGGTCCCAGTGGGGAGCTAGGACCCCCACGGACAGGGGCTGCTGCTGGGGGGAGGCAGGCTACCCATCTCCTACTGCATTTTAAATTGCAGAGCTGCAGCAGGGTTTGGTCCTGGACCCAGCACGAGCCAGGACTGAGCCGGGCGGCCTTCCCCTATCCCCTATTTAATTGAGTAGTTGATTAAAAATTCTATTAACTACTTCATTAGTAAATTAACCTCATTTTAACATCCCAAATGGACAAGCAGTTGGAGAAATCTAAAAGGAGCTGTGAACTAAAAAAACTGGGCTCATATATAGGCAAAAAGAAGGAATATGGTCTGAAGATGATCCTACCCCTAAAAATTCATCTAGGGAAGGAAGAAAGGCATTCTGGCCTCCCGAATAGCATCCTCTTACACCAGAGCAGAAAAGGAGAGGGCAAAAAGCCAAATGTATCCATTACCCTCATCAAAGGGAGTCACAGTTCTCAACTATCAGATGGTACTAACTTTTGGTCACCACCACACGGAGCAAATTAAAAACTGGAACTAGAGATCCCCTGATTAATTCCCAAGCCCTTGAGCCACCCAGACACCCACAACTGATTTAAATATGCTTCATTCTTCATTCCACATGGAGATGTACAGTATGCTCATAGTGCCCCAGGCAGGGACACATCACCACATAAATCCAGTTAAAATGCCACCTGCCATGTCTATGGCAGCCATTTAGAAATCCATTTTGAGAATGAAGCAAGGACTCACAAACCGGGCCTTAACTACCAGTAAAGACCTAGTGCCAGGAGAGATGATCATGAAATTCTTATTATTTCTAAAACAGCCAAAATTATAACAAGTTGTATCTGGTGTGCAAAAAGACAGGCAGCTGCCCTAAATCATAGAACCATAGAATCCTAGGGTTGGAAGAGACCTCAGGAGTCATCGAGTCCAACCACCTGCCCAAAGCAGGACCAACCCAACTAAACCATCCCAGCCAGGGCTTTGTCAAGCCAGAACTTAAAAACCTCTCGGGATAGAGATTCCACCACCTCCCTAGGGAACCCATCCCAGTGCTTCACCACCCTCCTAGTGAAATAGTTTTTCCTACTATCCAACCTAGACCTCCCGCATTGTAACTTGAGACCATTGCTCCTTGTTCTGCCATCTGTCACTACTGAGAACTGCCTTTCTCCATCCTCTTCGGAACCTCCCTTCAGGAAATTGAAGGCTGCCATCAAATCCCCCCTCACTCTTCTCTTCTGCAGACTAAATAAGCCCAAATCTCTTTGTAGGTCATGTGCTGCATCCCCCTAATCATTTGGTTGCCCTCCGCTGGACCTTCTCCAATGTGTCCACATCCTTTCTGTAATGGGGGTCCAGAACTGGATGCAATACTCCAGATGTGGCCTCACCAGTGCCAAATAAAGGGGAATAATAACTTCTATAGATCTACTGGAAATGTTCCTCCTAATGCATCCTAATATGCATTAGCCTTCTTGACTACAAGGGCACACTGTTGACTCATCTCCAGCTTCTCATCCACTATAATCCCCAGGTCCTTTTCTGCTGAACTGCTACTTAGCCAGTCGGTCCCCAGCCTGTAACAGTGCTTGGGATTCTTCCATCCCAAGGGCAGGACTCTGCACTTGTCCTTGTTGAACCTCATCAGATTTCTTTTGGCCCAATCCTCCAATTTGTCTAGGTTACTCTGCACACTATTCATACCCTCCAACGTACCTACCTCTCCCCCTAACTTACTGTCATCCTCAAATTTGCTGAGAGTGCAATCCATCCCCTCATTCAGGTCATTAATAAAGATGTTGAACAAAACAGGCTCTAGAACTGATCCTTGGGGCACTACGCTTGAAACTGACCACCAGCCAGACATTGAGCTGTTGATCACTACCTGTTGGGCCCGACAATCTAGCCAGCTTTCTGTCCACCTTACAATCCATTTATCCAATCCATACTTCCTTAACTTGCTGGTAAGAATATTGTGGGAGACCATATCAAAAGCTTTGCTAAAGTCAAGGTATATCACATCCACTGACTTCCCCATATCCACAGAGCCAGTTACCACATCATAGAAGCTAATTAGATTGGTCAGGCATGACTTGCCCTTAGTGAATTCATGTTGACTATTCCTGATCATCTTCCCCTCTTCCAAGTGCTTCAAAATGGATTTCTTGAGGATCTCCTCCATGATTTTTCCAAGGACTGAGGTAAGGCCGACTGGTCTGTAGTTCCCTGGATTGTTCTTCTTCCCTTTTTTTAAAGATGAGCACTACTTTTGCCTTTTTCCAGAGATTTACAGAGATGAAAGGCAAAGCAACCTCATCCAAATGGAGAGCCTGGCCCGTTTTCCTTTGCTAGTCATGGAACTTAAGCTTCTAGTAGCGTTTTTGCTGACAGAAACTCAGATTTGGGGAATAACCGCTAGCAATGTGTGATGTGTCATTAAAATGGAACTCAGGAGGAGATCCACAACCGGAATAGGTGATCATAGCTCCCTGAAAGTCAATGACAGTTTACATCAACTGAGACTGCATCCCCACAAGTCTGCCACTGGAAAGATCTATCACATCTCACTGTCTTGGGGTTGGTACTGTTACTGTGTGCTTCATTGAAGAGATTATCTCCTGCCCTGAAACTGAGAACATCCATAGTCTCAGACAAAGATATTTGCTTCAGTGATAGTCCCGAACCTATAAAATACTATTTAATCTTCTTACAGGCTGCAGGTATTAAACTGGATTGGCTGTTCCTCCAGCAATATGCCCTTCACACCTGACCCTTTCTCTTATTGGAATTCAGCTGGGCAAGACCTAATGAAAATGGGATCATTTGCTGCTGCTTTCACCCATAACTCAGCTCCTTTCTGGGTGCTCCATGTCAAAGAAGCTTACAGCACTAAATGCTAACCATGGAATACCAGTTCCTCTTGGACATCGTTTTCTGAAGGTAAGCTATGGTAGTCTATATGATTGTCAGATGGGCTCTGTTAGGTCAGACCATCTAATCATAAGGTAAAGGAATGGATCTGAATAATACTTGTAAAAGAAAATATTTTGCGTGCATAAGAATATGAAAATAGCGTTCAGTCATTGAGACTGGAAAAACAAAGGCTGGAGCCTCAGAAAGTCTTGATGTCATAGAACTCTAACAATTTGCACCAACTGATGAACTGCTCCTTTACTTGAAAAAGTTGCTTAGATAGCTCATTTTGGAGAGTTGTTGTAAACTATTGTGTTTAAACAAGGGGTTAGTTCAAGTATCTTTTGTGTTTGTTATTTTTCTTCTCTTTCTTTTGCTTTGCTTTATTTTGGTTGTTATAAAGGGTGACTTCATTTCCTTTATTGCATTACTCCTATACACATTAGAGAGGAATACAGCTGGCAGTATCACTGCATGTTTACAATCAGTATAGGCGCATACACATGTACTTTTTAGACAATAAGACTGGAATTTATATGATCTCTCTGTGGGCACGTTTGTAAGTCCTCATCGCTGTCATCTCTGAGCACCTCCCACGTATTTAAAGCAGAGATTGCAACATCTGTGTCTTTTCCTTCCTTTCCCCTAGTTAGAAATTTACATTGATTAGTTTATGGAGTTTTATATAATGTGAGTATGTGTGCTTGAAGAACAACTTAGTGAATGGCTTACAGCTGTGTTCTATTTGCATCCTCTTCTCATTTCGTATAATAATCCCGTTCCGTTTAAATAATATTTTTCAGAGGCATCAACTCCAAACTGAAAGGTACATGCGATTCACGCTCAAATCAATGGTTTTATGCTGTCATAGCCCACGTCTGTGTTGCTTTGGTATTTACAGTTTAGCTCCTCTTGTAAAGCGTTGTTCAAATAATTATGCAAGATATGCTCATTATCCCCAAACGGACAGTGTGATAGCGAGCCCACTTTGCCAGTCCTAATTTGGATGGCAGGTTTGAAGAGATGTAGCCATAGTAACAAATGAATACTCAACACTTTTGGTTTTGCTATACCCTGGCCTTGTCTTCTGCCCTTCTCAAACTGTAAGCAAACATAGAAATCACCTTTTGCTTGGTTTGTATCTTGTGTGAGTGCAAATACTGGGGAGCTACAGAGTGGCACTAGCAGGGAGATTTTAGAGCAATTACCAGGTACATTTCCAGCAACCTGTCATGCTTACATAGTAAGTAAGAGGGCTGTACAGAGAGGATTTAACACGATAGGGTCAACCTTAGTGCTTAATCTTCAGAGTGATTTAGACTGTAAGTAAGCTCCTTGGGGCAGGGACAATGTTGATTGTTTATAAAGCATCGAGCATGTTGTCAGTGCTACAAAATATCAGATGGGCCCAAATAAAAACCTGGATCTGAAGAACCCTAAGCTCTGTGGGATGAAGTGGTGGGGGAGAACTGAATCCAGAGGCAGAGCTGAAGCTTACGGCTAGCTCATCTCCATCACGAGGCCAACCAAAATGGCAGATCTGAACAGCCCCAAACTTGGGGGATTGAAATCTGGACCCATATCTGAATTTGCCAGTTTGGGACCAGCTTGTATCATGCAAACATAATGCCAGCTAATATTGCATTAAGGCTGAGTTGCAAAGCAGTAGATGTTAGGTGACAGTAGATCATTATACCATGTGTTTCACAATAGAACATCTTCTTTTGCAGGATCCTGCACTTTGTGTAGCATGTAGTTCCAGTCCGGTTGAGATCCCCACATTTAGGAGCAGCAAGGGACTCCAAATGATACGTGTAAATGCAGGGTACTGACCAGAAGAAGTCTCCACTGGCTTCAGGAACATTGATCCGATCTGTGAGCATTTGGGAAATGCATTTACCACCAAGGAGAAGGCTTCAGTGGAACCAGGTTCTTTTCTTATTGGCCATGGTGTTGGCTTTTTCCATCTATCAGCTTCTCTGTGGCCCTAAAATTGTTTCAGCACGTTGGACAGCATCTCAGCCTGAGGACCAAATGAAAGTGACCACCAGGGACCTTTCCAGCAATGCCAGCAACAAGGCCTCAGCAGTGGGCAACGGGACAACAGTATCCAAGATAAGGCATTGTGTATACGTGGATGCTACATCAGCCGTGACCGTCACATCATCAGTGAATGCAACCCCACCCCAAGGAAGTGTCAATCTGAGCCACCTGGATGAAGAGGGGAGTTACCCAACACTCCCCACCCATGGAGAGTACCCTCAAGACCTTTTTAGCTTGGAGGAGCGCAGGAAAGGGTGGGTCATACTTCACATCTTTGGCATGATGTATGTGTTTGTGGCCTTGGCCATAGTGTGTGATGAATATTTTGTCCCTGCCTTGGATGTAATCACGGATAAGTTGCAGATCTCTGGCGACGTGGCGGGGGCCACCTTCATGGCAGCAGGCGGATCCGCACCAGAACTCTTCACCTCTCTCATTGGTGTCTTCATCTCACACAGCAATGTGGGCATTGGCACCATTGTGGGCTCAGCGGTGTTTAATATTCTTTTTGTCATTGGCACGTGTGCCCTTTTCTCGAGGGAGATACTCCACCTGACCTGGTGGCCGTTGTTTAGAGACGTCTCATTCTACATTCTAGACTTACTGATGCTCATCCTGTTTTTCCTAGACAGCTTCATTGTCTGGTGGGAAAGCCTCCTTTTGTTGAGCGCCTACGCCCTCTATGTGTTTACCATGAAATGGAACATTCACTTAGAACAGTGGGTGAAGGAACAGGTGAACAAGATGAGAAGTACTGTGAAGGCGACAGCTTCTGAAGACACGGAGAAGGTTAGTGTCCTCATTGTTCTGTTGCCTAGTTGGGAATGTTTCTTTTCACTTAAAACACAAGGAAAGGCTGTATCTCCTTGGCAACGGGTACATGGGATTGGGACCAACCCAATCAACCTCTTCAGAACTATACCTGTTGGTCAAGACAATTGCTTTACTTACCGATTATTGTTAAATGGTGATGGAACAATCTAAATATTAGGAAGTGAGCTATAAATCAAGGAAGAGTCTGTTCAAAGGGGGCTCAATTGTAGAACAACTCACACTGTACCCATCTGGGGTGCCTCTCCCTTTTCAGAAAGATACATGGGGTTTTCCACTCAGTTATCGTTAAAGGGAACTAGAAGGCTCAATCCCATTTAGGGCTGGAGATTCCAGGCCTACATTAGCAGTCTGGAAGCTATTCTATGTAGAAGACATACTTGCTTGAAATGAGCACTCTGGGAGCATTTCTTGGATTGTTTGAATCTAAACAAGCTAAGGATCACAGCTCTTCCCTTTCACCTATCAGGCTGTCCCTCATCCTGTCCAGACTTGACCCAGGGGAGGTGGAACTTGAACCCATGACCCTGTCCTCCCCAGGCAGCACCCTATCCCCTAGGCCACATGGGAACCTGCCCCACCACCTTTTACCTATCAGGCTAGATCAGAGGTGAGCAACCTGCAGTGCACGGTTTGCATGCGGCCCATCAGGGTTCTATGTGTGGCCTGTGAGACAGTTTGTTTAATGTTGCCCACATGCAGGGCTGTCAGATACCTCTGGTTTCTATTTGCATCATTTTTTCTACCGTCTTACTAAAGTAACACACACGTGAAGCAAGGGCATGTGAACATTGACTATGGGAGCCATGTGCTCCCTCTGCATCCAGTCAAAGCCCTGCTAAGGTTCAATCGGTCCCTCAGCAAACTGTAGGAACACACGCGCTGTTAGAAAAACTACCCTGTCCCGGGAGACCATCTTGGTTATGACAACCTTGCAGCCCGCTGAGATGAAGGAAGCTCACTCATGCAGCCCACTCACTCGTCAAGGTTGCTCATCACTGGACTAGATACTGAGCATTCTAGGCAGGGCTGGCCTTACCATGAGGCAAATTGAGGCAGCCGCCTAAGGTGCCAGACTGTGGAGGAGCGCCCCTAGGACCCAGAGTGTAGAAAATTGTGTCCGCTGTGGTGCACATGTATTCTCTCTGCTCTAGATGCACAGAGACGGTGGAGTGCCATGAGAGGAGTAGAATGGGAAGAAGGCAGAATTGAGACCTTTCAAAGTTTTGGCCCAAGCCAGGGGACATGGGGGCATCATTTGAGCTCCCCGCCTCAGGTGCCAAAATGTTGTGGCTGGTTCTGTTCACAGCAGGGGGGACCACTCCTGCCTGCCTCCCCTTTAATCAGTTAACCATTTGAACGGGATTTTATATCCCGAATTAACACCCGCACCATGATCACAGCAAGAATCAAACCTACGTCTTCCACACCCCAGGCACAAGCGAAGGGAGAACTCTAACTGTGAGACAGCAGCAGAACCTATCGCTGCCAGAATCCGCCACGAGCAATTTGCCCCCTCTGCACTGTCTCTGCCTGTCAGCAAACAGGTGGAGAGAGGTAGTGGCTGTCCGGCTCCTCAGGAAGCACTGCAGAAGGGGAGGTCCTCCTGGGTCTGGCTCAAGATCCATATGACAGAGCTTTGCCTTGCTCACAGATCCTGGGGAGCTATAAGGTTTCCAGGCCCAAACCCTGACCCCTCTGCATGGCTACAAGCTCCTCCCACTGGCTTGACTCCAGTTCTGTGAGCAAACCTCACAGGCAGAGAGGTGTAGACTCTTCCGTGCCAGGGTGGCTGAAAAACTAATGGCATTCCCATCATTTTATGTCCGTTTCCATGCAGCAAGGCGATGGGTCAGTTGCAGGGGATGGCGCAAGGCACTCTGGCGACAGCAAGAAGATGGAGGTAGGTGGATAAAAGTCTGTGCAGCACCATGTGGATCTGAGTTTATTGCAGCTGGAACCGGCTCGGACATGAAATACATGCCCCCGAGCAGCGATGGTTCTGCTGCTCAGGAATAGAAAGGACACGGATGCCTTTCAGAACATGTCCTCTGCTCTGTGTCACGGAGTTTGGGTCAAACCCTGCTGTTGTGAAGAGGAGGAGCTGTGGGCCGGGAGCAAATGGAAGCCCCCAGTGTAGCTGGAAGTAGAAAGTGGCTTGTTGTCTAAGGATAGGCCCATGCTGCAATCTGAGGCTAATTACTCTCAGGATACTGTGGATGGATCAGAGGGGCAGGCTCAGTCTGAGAAATGTGGATGGTGCTCAGTCCGCTTCCCAGCAGACAAGGGCCTTGCTGGATCGTGCTCCTTGTTGGGAGTCTTAGCCAAGCGGCCGTGGACAGGCTACGGAGCAGGGCTGCCAACCCTCAGAAATTTCATTTGCGGACAAAATGGGAAAAATTTACAGACAGCCAATTTTTTTTTATGGACATAATTTTTATACTGTATTAAGACGACATAAATGCCCCAAAGTGAAAAGTCATCGTTGTCATTCATACATCACAAGAATAATATGCTGTTTAACTCACTTTCATTGAGTTAGTCATAGTCATGGTCCTGGTAGTGTGCTGACGCTAACTCGGCGGGATAATGTAGCTGATAACATCACATGGATCACGTGATTCACGTTACGTCGCCTCAGCCATTGAGCTAAATAAACAACTAAAATGTCCAATTTCCACTGCTCTGCAGTAAAATGGCTTAAGCAACACAGAAGAAATTTAATTGCTATAGAATAATTGCTGGGTTTTTTTTAATTTTATTGCACTATTACGAAATTTACGGACACCTACATTTTTTAATGGACTTTACGGACATGTCCAATTTCGGTTAATTTTTATGGACTGTCCATAAATTTACTGATGGTTGGCAACCCTGCTATGGAGACTGAATGCTCGCCTCTCTCGAGCTGGTGGGGAGGGATGGGAACCTGTCCTGTGGCTGCGTGGCCCAGCCCTGTTGATTGGCTCAGAGACGTCAGTCTCCAGGAGCGACGCAGAGGTGTTGGAACCATTTCTCTACTGGGGGGGCTGAGAGCCATTGAACCAATCCGTAGACCCTGGATATGGTGGAAATCACTGCAAACCCGGGGGTGCTGCAGCACTGCTGGGCCTCAGTTCCACCTTTCCCCACCACTGAAATAGGGCAACCGACAGCATGAATAGTCTGACGTGGGCCTGGGATTAACATTGCCCTTGTTCTACTGCTCATTTCCCCCTTACAGCGAGGAGGCAGCTCCGCCTCTCTGCACAACAGCCACATGCGCACCACCATCTTCCAGCTCATGATCCACACCCTGGACCCCCTGGCTGAAGGTGAGCTCATGCCCCACCGCTGTGTGATTTCACACTCAGGTCTGCCGGCTGGATGCAGGCCACGCTCACAGCGACACACACGGGAGCAGCTGCTCCAGGAGCTGAGGAGCTGTTCCACAGCACTGCAGATAGCTATTTCAGAGTGAGCAGGAGGGATTGCTCCTGGACAAGGTGTGTGTGTGGGGGGAGGATGCCGCACTCATGGAAGGGGTGGAGCCTTGGCTGGAAGTAATGGGGTAGGGCTAGCCTCCCCCCACCAGCCCTTCAGCACCGCCTGGAGCATGCTGCCTGGGCCTCCGGCGGCAATTTAAAGCCCCTGCTGCTGCCACAATAGCAAAAGCAGCGACTGAGAGCCCCAGACCCTTCTGAGTCACTGGCCCCGTTGGCCCTCCTGTGGGCCCAACTGAGAATGGGAGTCGCTTCCAAAGTTCAGTGCCTCTCTCATCCAGGGCCCTGGGCATTGTGGGAGCGGCACTCCATATCTGAAGTTCTGTGCGAGCCGTTCTTACAAAACCCACACCGGCCCATTAAATACACCTGGGAAGAGGCGAGTAATGAGCAAATTAGCAACCGTGGTTTTGCCGTGGCACTGAACAGTTCCCCCAGCCGATGGAGGGCGACTGAGCACATACCTTTCCCACGTTGGCGTTGAATAGCTCAGCGAATGTGTAGCCAGATGTTTTCTTTTTGCCAGGCCATAAAATACGCCCGTTAGAGATTGGTGAGGATACAGCTGGTCCCAATGTGCTTTGGGAAGTAAAGCACTCTTGCTTCAGTAACACACAACTCTGATCACAACTCTGCCCTGAGGCCTTTCGGTCTTGCTGAGCTCAGCTTGCTTCCATGCAGCGTCAGCTCTTCCCCCCGACCATGCCAGCCTCTCCCCTTGTGCTGTGCAGATAGCACCATCCCTCTCCAGAACTCCCAGTGGCTGTAGGCATTAGGCATGGTTTCAAAATGTTAGTTAATGTGCTGGCTAATTCTGCCCCATTGTATCATTGCCGGTATCCAGCGCGTAGAACACAGTATTATTTCTCATCGGGTGTATCTAAACTACATGGCTCCATCAATGGAGCCATGTAGATTAGGCTGATCGGCAAAGGGAAATGAAGCTGTGAGGCTCAGCGCGCTAGTCTGGACGCTCCCGCGCTGACCTGAAAGCCCTTTATCGACCTCCCCGTTATGCCTCGTAGAATGAGGTTTACCAGGGAGGTCGATAAAGGGCTTTCATGTCGACAGGGGAGTGTCCAGACTGCCCCGATCTGCCGACAAACAGCTGATCGGCAGAGCGGGGCAGCCATTTAAATTTAAATGAAGCCGCGATTATTTCCCTTTGACGAACAAACAAATCTACATGGCTCCGTTAACGGAGCCATGTAGTCTAGACGTACCCCTAGTGTCTCCTGGACATCAAGTAAACTCTCGTCTTACTCCTAACCCTAGAGTTAAGTACAGGGATACACATAATGTAAGTCAATGGCAATCAACAGTGACGACAATATTATTCTTAGTTCCACTGAATTACGTTAACACTCACGTGAATTAATACACTTGACATTCCTTTGATATTTACACGTAAGTTAATTGGCCTATTGCTCTGACCTGAGCTGCTCTGTCTGTGTGGCTGTTAGGTGGCTGAAATGCAAGGCCTGACAAGTTATCTGCCCTCTTGTATAGCCAACAGCTTCCTCCTGAGAGGCAAAGCTCAGATTCCTTGGTACAGTGCTAATGACAGCGCCACATGTGCTGAAGGGAAGAAAAAAGCTGTCACCGGGAATGGGGAAAACAACCCATTTGTCAGTGGGTAGGTGATTATTGCCTAGTGACAGGCAACAGTATCGTTAGGCATCGGCGGTGATGAGCCAGTCTGGGGATGGTTAATAATGCAGGTGAAGAGCACCGTGTTTTTCCAACAGTGTCCGTCTCACAGGTTTGGCTCCTAAATAGGTCCATGGGTTTCTGGAGGACTTATTGACTGTAACCGCCCAGCCTTGTTCAGTTAATGTGGGTTATTCAGGACTCTTGATTGCTCACCCCCATTGCAGTGGATCATCTCCCCCAAATACGTCCAAAGCCATAGCTTTCTGAGAAGGCCTGAACACGGGCAGGGCTGCCGGGATAAATGGAGGCCAGGTGCCGATGGAGTGAGGCTGCAGAATGAGCCTGAGATCTAACAGTGACTGAACCTACAAATATCCCTTCTCCCTCCCGGGCCAATGACAGCCCCCCGGGGAACCACAGTCAGGAGAATCAATGTCAGATCTCTAGGCTGATCCCGTGCACGAGGGCCAGTCAAGCCCAAGAGGTGCCCAGCGAGCATTCGCACTTCTCTCCTAGAGGGATCCGCAGCCTTAGCTCAGTCCAAGGCAGGGAGCCAACAGCTGGCGCTTATCTTAGCCTCATTCAGTGCAGGGGCATGCCTGCCCCGATCCAACCCCTCTGCAATGCACATGCTTTATCTCTCACTAGCCGGTAGGAGAGTGTCAGGGAGACAATATGGTCTAGTGGTTACAGAGCGAGACAAGGTGTTTGCCACAGCACCTAGGTGCTTGAATCTGTGCATAGCAGCAGGGACGGGAGGGCTCTGTCTTGGTGCATTTCACACCCACGCTGCACATGATTCAATGACAATAGCAGGGCAAGGCTGCTGGGAGTCTGGCTCTGAGCTCGGACTCATCCTTTCCCCAGCTGAACCCGGGGGATGAGAAAACAATGGGCTGCAACTTTACCACCCCCATCCCATTCTCATTGACATACCGTTTGGCCAAAAAATGCCCCCACCAACTCTGACATCAGCTGCCATGAGACCGTGGGCTGAGACACTAGCATTGCCCGACCGATGGCTTATGTGTTAATGATACTGATTACTTAAGAATTCCCAGTAAACGCTCGGATATAGTCTTCCCCCAAGATCAGGCCCAGTATTACTACTCAGCTAGGAACCCTGACACGCACAGCTGCAGCAGTCACACTTAGGATGCCCTTCTGTATTTGCAAGCATTTCATTAGCACCGCTAGCGAAGTCACAAACACACCAACCCAGCCAGGTAGAAAGAGAGAACACCGCACGAGCAGCCGAGTAGCTGTCCCCTCACGCCAGTCCTGGCAGAACAACGTGAACCGTTAATTATCACCGCTCACATCATCACTTTCCGCATCACTATCGCCACGGGCCATCAGCCCAAGGGAAGAACGTGTAAACCGTGTTATGCTGGTGCCGCTACGCCTAATTCATCCTCAATAGGGGGTTCTCCCCTCTTCCTTGTTAGTTGTTCCTCAACCTCCTCACATCCCAAGCTGGTATAAACTAGGAGCTGGGCTTTACCTGTCAGCAGTTTTGTTACTACAGAATTCTCTTATGACCCGGGGTTGCTGCTGGTTAACTGCATATACTAAGGGTTTGAGGCCTTCTGTCTTCTGTAGCTCTGCCGTTGTCTTACAAGCTGCAGGCCTGTAGGCACACTGCTTTATGGCTGTGACTTATGCCTGACCTAGCACATAGCTATACCGACGGGCTCCACTAGTTTGCCTGTTGGTAGCATGGGAGATGATAGGCTCAGCCCAGGTCGGTAGGTGATCTCTTCCTTACAAAGTCCCTGATCCTGCAAGCAAAGTCTACTGGAATTGATGCCTGAGCCCCGTTAGCATCCCGGGGGCTCAGGTGGATACAAGAACCTCTCTGTGTGGCTCAGCTTGCAGGCTTAGGGCCTCAGGTTACTGATTTTATTCATTCGGTGCCATTGTCAAATGACAAGGCCCAGCCCTGAGGGACAAACTGGTGAGCAACAGTGGGGTGTTGTTATTACTCAGCCAGCACCAGAAACCATTTGGTGAAACTGTCAGAGGAAATTCACGTCCAGGGCTACCGCGTAGAAAAGCACGGCGTTGGCCTTCCATGTCTGTAAAGTACTGACTGCCCCTGGCTCACTGAGCTTCTGCTTCTGGGTGCTCTGAGCAGAGCCTGGCGCAGACACAGACCTGTGGCTCTATTTCCAATCTGCATCCAGGATCGTTCTTTTCTATCCCCCCTGCAATCTGCACTCCAGCTTTTATAGGGATCCATAGCCATAGCAGCACCCGCTGTCACCGTCAGAGCCTGCATTTGAATCCACATTCAGTCTGCAAAGAGGGCAAACAATACAGCCGCAGTGGTGCACACAGATATGTGGGGATTTGCAGTGCTCTGCCTCTGAGAATCTCTGCATTGCCGGGTGAACGCCAGCTCTTCCTCAGGTGTTTCCCTAACTCCTCCACTCCACACTCAGGCTACGTCTAGATTGCAGGCTTCTTGCACACAGAGCTGGCTTTGGGCCAATTCGCCTGATTCCCCCGCGCCCTGAAGCTGGAAGTGTGCTGGGCGCGCTGTGGGAGGGGGCTGCCAGGGCCCCGTCAAAACTTGTGTGCGGTGTGTTTTTTTTTTTTGCTCAACAAAAAATCCTGGTTGCTGGTGCCCCATCGAAACTGTTCGAATTGGGCCCCGCACTTCCTAAAGCCGGCCCTGCTTGCGCAAGAAGCTTTTATCGGAAG